TACACATTCAAGTCTGAGAAACACTGGTCTAAGCAAAAGAGCTCCCTAAAGTCCGAACAACCGGTTGAATGTGGTTGGAAAATGACTAATATTCTTATACTTATGAGGCAGTTCACAGTTGAACTTTATCTCTTCTGAGCTTCTTAAAACAACTCTGTACAGTAACTACAGTAACTAAAAAAGGCAGTTTCAGCATTTTATAAATGAAACCGAAGCTCAAATATTCAAGTTCAGAGTCATGTAGCATACAAGGATGGAACCAAAATTAGAGCCCAGGTCTACTGAGTCATACAAACTAACAAGCAGGACATTCCGAAAACAGGGCAAACGGCTGTAAGCCATAAGTAATAGCCTGAAGAAAAGGGCTCTCTAAGGTCCAAGCAAGCGATGACAGCAAGGGTTACCAGCACATAGTTAGGTAACTTCTTATGACATCAGTTACAGACATTTGTACCTGGAGCTCTCAAAGACCGAAGCAAAATAAGCACTAATCCTCTTTTCGCCTGAGTTTGCTATTATGTAGAATGAGCTTCAAGAAACACAAACGTTTAGCCCTCATCCAACTACTTAAGTGGATAAGTCAGTCACCTTTGGTTGTCCACTCCACAATTCTACAAATAATTCATTCAAAGTTCAAAGTCAGATGACATAGAATGGAAAAACCACCCTAATATGTGTGTGGGGGGGTGTTTACATATTTATGTGTTTCATATTTATTAAAACAAAAATGATCACAATTTGCATCTGTCACGAGACTTGGCTGCTGCGTTCCTCTGTCCATAAATAACAACAAATGCTACAATTCACAGGTGCATCAATGTTAGCAAGTGTACCTAATATGCCATATTCCTAGACAAAATATAGTGTGCTATACTCTATCATTTACCAAAGGTATTTGATAAAGGATTCAATGTGAAATCAACGGTCCTTAAAGTATCAGTAATAACCAATAAATGTTGATTCGTGATTTAGCCACAGAGAAAGAAACCTTCATAATTGTCACAAACTTTCCCCAAAGACCCATGCCCACAAAGTTTGTTTTCAAATAGTGAATTACAAGTGGTAGGAAAATCACATATTGTGTCAGAAATATGTTTGAGTGTTGACACTCTCTTTGTAAATGTAGGCGTTCCAGATGCCTTATAGAAGAGAAGCCCTTTTTCCCTTGAAATTTGCACAAACTTCTCACACTGCACTGTCAAATAATCATATTTTTTGGTTGTTTCCTCTTTTTCCCCTAGTGTAAAAATATGGGAATAAAGATCCAGAATTTTGCAAAATTAAAAACTTAGCTATATTGAACTTAGATACTTATTTTCTTATACCTAACTCTTATTAAGTACATTCACATATTAAACGGGAAAAATGCTATCACCATAGAAAGTATTATAGTATCTTCCAAACATCAAAAAGGTCAGAACTGTGAAACAGATAAAATTTCAATACCTCAAATTTAAAATATTTAAATCCACAATAGTATGAAACCTCTGCATTTTATCATATATGCACTTACACAACACGTAAAAATATGCGTATATATATCATTTTTACAAAGTTACCTTTTGAACAGATACATTAGGATCAATTATTTTATAATTATCTTTCTAGACATATGCTACTGATGTTAAAAATATAGTCAGTGGGACTGTTAAAAATGAAAATTTAAAGCCTAGATTAGAACACTGTCGATTTCCATTTTTCCTTTGACTTATCAAGAAAGCCACATGATTTTAACCTGCTAAGATGAATCAGGAGGTGAATCTCTTTGGGAGCCTGTGTGCAAGCGCAGAAAGTTAGAAAAACCAGTGCTAGAAACGTGTCTAGTAATTGATGAATTCCTGCACCTGTTGGGGGTGGCAGTGAGACAGGTGGGCTCTGTTCAGAAAAACACCTGAGGCACTCCCGTAAGTCAAGTCCTGTGGGTATGTCTTACACTTTACTGTGCTTACAAATATAAATGAGGATTCTGGTTCAGTGTCTAGGAAGAAACCCATGTGCAGCTGCTGCCACTGGTCTCTGGATCATACTTTGACTCTATGCCCTAAGATAGAAGATGGTGTGTGGTTTCCTTTAGCTCTTAAAGGATCTCATAAAGAAGCTCTGAAGATCTAGATTCTTGTCTGGGAAATAACAGGGTGAGGTTGGTATACATGAGAGTACTTCTCTTTCCATCCTGTTCTGTCACCTTCATTCTATAGTCTTTTGTTGTTTTTTCCCCCAAAAGATAGAAATTACAAAGTAAGACCCCAAGACTAGTATTCATCTCCTATCATAATTATACAAAAATGAGCACCAGTTCCCCAAAAATACACTTTTTCTTTTCATGGGAGTAAGGCAGTAAAGGTAAATGTTTTGGGGATAGTCAGCCAAACTCCTGTCCCTGGACCACCAGAATTATAAAACCTTCCTTGTCTCCTTTTGCCATTTCAGATTATTCAGGGCCACAGATTCACTGAGAGAATTTTTTTTTTCTCCTTGCCATTTCACTTTCTCAGTGCCAAACATCTACTGTGGCTTCCAATGAATCAAGTTCTCCTTCCTCTCCTCCCCTGGAAGCTCATGCTCCCAGCAAAATGTCACAAATAAAGTAGAAGCAAGTATTTCCCAGGCTAGACTTGTAAACAGAAAGCAAGAAAACCATTCTTTACCGGGAAACTGACCCACAAAGCTTACTGGGCTCAGTTAAAGTGATTGAGAAGAAGGTCAGCTAAGAAAACAAAGGGAACTCTCTCCATAGTTACTTCTGATAGAGCTCCATCAACCCAGAAATAAAAGCCTTGTCCAAGGCAAAGGAAATTTAAAAAAAAAGAGGGCACATTAGGTGAGGTCTGGAAAAGCAACAGACTCTCACAGGTGACTTCGCCACAAGCTCTGTTTGTCTATCTTCTCTTTCCCAGTGAATAACTGCTTCTATATTTACTCTTATTTCTCACTCCCTCCATTTCCACACCGTAATGTCTACTAAAGTGTAATGCTTAAAAACTCCATTTGTTTTAAGCCAGAGATACATGGAAGCACATTGATATCATATGTAGGTATTTATGTAGTAAGATACCTCTCATAGACATAAACTTTTATGCATATGCTATCTGAGAATACAAGAATATCCTTTTCTTCTGAATTAACATTTAAATGTTTACCTAACTCTTTAATAACTGTAGCTTAAGATACGGGTGATGCTGACTTACAAAGTTCATGGGCATTTAAATAAAATCTCACACATTCAGGGTATTCACTTACCCCATATTCAGTCTCATAATCGGCAAAAACAATCTTCTTGGGGATAGCATAAATTTATATAGAGTGCTTCACTAGTAAAGGGTTAATGATGTTAGGGAGTATGAATGTTAGCAGTTGAGATGGCATGCTTATGTGTTTGCAAAAAACATTTTCTGCATCATTCCAAATCCCTTTGCAAACAGATAAATTACTCTATAAATCTTATTACTCCATGTGGATAAATCACACATGCAGGTTTACAGGGCTGGAAAGCTGGTAGGGAAAATCTGCTTTGGAGAGTAGGATCTTTGGGATTCATAATCATTCAAGAAATGAAGAAAGGAGGTTTTTCTTAGTTTTTACAATCTGCAGCAACACACACACACAACACAACACACAACACATACACATTCCTCTCTAACAAAATCTAGAGATCCCAAAGCAGGACACTGTGACAGCCAACCAAATTTATTTCTGAGGAAAGGAAAGAAAACTTTGCTGCTGTAGGCAGCTCTGCTAGAGAACTGCTCCCTGATGCCCCAAGGTTTATGCACTATCAGCTCCTTGCACACAGATTAGAGGTTTACTTTCTATAGTTTACTGTTTTTTATTGCCACAACAAGCAATATTAACTGTATGGACAGACTGACACTGGGTCATTTTATTTGGACAAAATGAGATTTTAAAGGATCTCCAAGGAAAACATTTTTTCTTCATTCTTTTTTTTTGAGGGGGGGTGTCTGATAGAAATTTAAGAAAGCTAGAAAAAAAAAAAGACGAGGGGTATGTGCAGTGGGTAGAGGAGGGGAAGAGAGAAGAGAAACATAGGAAAAGAAGCTTGAAGCTTTTTTAGAAATAGAATTACGGCTAGGTTCCTTCTGAGTTTCTCCAGCACACTCTCCCTTATAGGGGTCAAACTCCCAAGGACTGGGACTCTCCCTGTCCAAATTTCCCAATCCCAAATTATATTTCAGAGTTTGGCAGAGCCACACAGAGATAGGACTTTAAGGTCAATAATCAATTTGAAATACCCATTTTACACCAGGTTAATTCTTGCCTAACCTTTGTGCTTAATACTCCTATTCTTAAATATCAGCAATTTGGCAAGTTCCTTTTTTTTTTTTTCTTCTCTACTTTCATGTGTTGATGTCTATCCACCTTCCAGAAAAGGCTCAGTAACCAACCGAAGTTCTAAGATTGATTTATTGCCCTCGATGTCAATTAGATGATCCTTACAGAAAGTCTCCAGTCCGAACTACTGCTGGGGCAGAGCGAGAGCCTTGATGCGCATATATTTCTCTCTCTCTCTCTCTCTCTCTCACACACACACACACAGCATAGAGAATGCAGTACTGTGTACCACTCTCTGAGAGCCATAATTCAACAACTCTTCTTTCCCATTTAAAGAACCCCAACAAAACTCTTAAGTGCAAAGCATCTGAAATTACCAAAGGAAGAATCCTGCCCAAATGTCACTAATACCATAGGTGAAGTCAGGCTTTCTTGGTAAGAGAAACAAGGTCCTAAGAATCCAAACAACATTTAACCAACATTGCTGGTCCTTGACGGGAAACAGAATTCCCTTGAAATTTGTTGGCAGATACCTGGGCCACTCAGTAAAAGGCGCGTGTGCATGCACGGCACACACACACACACACACACACACACACACACACACACACACACAAGCCTGCAGTATCAGAAGCTGGAGTTGAAGATCACACACACACAAACACACACATCCTCTCCCGCACAACAGAAAAGTTGCCCGAAAGCCCTACCTGAGGATGGCTGTGTCCCCCTGCCTCACGGTGATGTTGTCCGTGCCTCGGTTAAAATCCACGCTGCGAACCGGCAGTCCTGTGGGGAGAAGGCAGAGCAATCTCAGTAGGACTAGCGGCAACTGTTTCCGATCGGGCTGAACTCTGCCGACCATGGTGGCCACGCCGAGGTGCAGGTCCGGGTGTACTCTGGAGGGTGTGTGCGTGCTGCTCACGCCGAGAGGGCTTTACAAACACAGGGCTTTCATCAACAGCCAAGGCAGAATGGGCTTTGCCAGTTTGTGCTCCTTTCCACTTTGCCTCTCTTTCCCTGGCTCAGTCTCTCTTCCCTCTAAGACTTAACAAAGCCCTCATAAAACCCAAGCCGGGGGGTGGGGGGGGGGGCGGGTAGCCAAAGGAGCACAATTTAAAAGGAGGGAGTACAAATATAAAACCCTCTAGAAAAGATGAAAGAGAAAGCTGCAAAAGGAAGGTGTTCTTCTCTGGTCTGTCTGTGGCTGGATGCTCCTTTGCCAGTGTCTGAGCTGAGCTCCTTCCCTCCCTAACCCACTTTCCCAGGCGGGCGGGCAGGCAGGCGAGGGAGCCGGCACCCAAGCCTGCCAGGGAGTGTAAAGAAACCCACACAGCCGCGGCAGCAGCCCAGAGCCTCTCCCCCCTCCCTTTCCTGTTTCTCCCTCCAGTCCCTCCCCTCCGCTCGCACCTCCCCCGCCCCCCGCGGATTTCAACAGCCCCTCCACGTCATCCCCTCCGCCCTCCCTCCGGCCTGGCCCCTCGCTTTGCACAACTGCCCCCTTCAGCAGCCGCCAGCCTCAGTGAAAGCCTGATGCGCCTTTAGGTTGTCAGGACAACAGCTCCATCTGAGGCCTGGCTGATTTCCTTAAGACGACGGAATGGAGCTTGGATGTACTGTGCAAGAGAAAGGGGAGAAGGAGAGGGGCTCGGGCTGTAAAAGCACAGGAGAAAGAGTGTGGGAAAGAACGGGGGAAAGGGGGGAAAAAGAAGGAAAAGGAGCCGGGAAGGAGAGAAGGCAAGCCCGGACAGATGAAGGGAGCGCACCAGAGAAGGGTCAGAAAGCATGGGGAGTGGAGGGGCCCCGCTTGCCCAAAGATGGGATGGGGCATGTAGAACAGAGAAGAAACTTGACAGGGGAGGCTAAGATTAAGAGCCAAAGTTGATTTCAAAACTAAATATTCCTGGCCACTGGTTTTTCATACTCACCTCTTGTTCATTCTTTCCTCTCCCCTGCACTTTCTTTTACAAGCTTAAAAAGGTTTCTTTTCTCTCGTTCCTTTAGCCCCTCCCCCTCTTGGAGCCCCCCTTATGAAAGATGGATTGGAGACAATGCTGGTATTGAGTGGTCTGGAGTGTGAATGCCTGGTTTGTCTTTTCCAAGGGCCAGCCTCAGCAGCTGATCCCCAATCCCTAAATCAACCTCACTCTCCAGGAAACCCTCTCTCAGTCCCACACGTGAGGAATGGTACTGAGGATTACTGTCTAAATGTCATGTTGCTGTTGCTACCTAACTTGCTACTGGCACTTGTTTCTCAAAATGTTCATATGTAAGGAAGAGATTGGTGTATCAGAAAACTTGTCATTTACAGGACCACACTGAGGCTATGTAGAGAACTCCCGAGAATGGCAGACAGGTGACCATCCTTAGTCATTCCTTCTACTCCAGGAGTCAATCCCAAGTGAGAAGGACCCTAGGACCTAACACTGTTAGTCACTCATGTGACAGCCCCACACTATTAGATATCTCCCTCACCACGGATGCTGAGGATAAAAGATAGGGGTGGACCAGCCAAGGACCTCTTTTTTTTTTTTCTTTTAAAATTTTGTTTATTTATTTGAATAGTTAAGGCATTGACATGGTGCAAAAATCCAGTGGTACAGAATGCTGCAGAGCGAATTGTAATTATCTTTCCTACTCCTGTCTTTAGGCAACCATTGCTCCTGTTTGGAGGCAACAGGTATTTCCAGTTTCTTATACAACTTTCCCTAAATCTTCCAAGTATATACAAGTAAATACGCATGCATATTATGTCCACCCCTCTTAGTTACACAAAGGATTAGCCAAGGGCATGGGTGGGAGGGAGAATATGTTTAGGAATTCTTATCAAGTCCCATCAGAGTACAAGCCCTAAGGAGGCATTTTCTGTGCTGACACCTGTCTTGTCCCCCCAGAATTCAAAGAATTTATCTGCTGAACTTTTTCAACTTGAAAGGAGGTGCACTCTTACAGATTATGTGAGGAAAATAAGGAAAAAAATTGTGGTTTTTAAGTGTTTTGTACTATGTTGGTGCTGATAAGCAGGGCCCAGATAATAAACCAGTCATGTTTCACCCCTAATTTTTAACTCAGCTGTTTAAAATTTGGAACCCCTTTTGCCACAAGAAATGATTAAGCCAAGTGGTTAGGTGAACTACAAAACCCATAACCCTTGGTTCCCAGTATCAGTGGGAAAATGAACTTCAAGTGCCAAATGGAGATGCATGGATTACATAACTCTATGCAAAGATTGTAGGGAAAAGAGCACCCACCCTCACCCACCCCTGCCAATAGGCTTGACAATCCCCAGTGGGCTTCTTCTGAGCTTTTAGAGATGAAGGATAGTCTTAGAACCTCTTCTTTGTGTGAGTGGTGTTTCTCCAATGTCAGGAGGAAGAAAGTAAAGACCCAAAGGACTGGGGCCACTGGAGAATCCATTGATGAGGCCAGGTGAATGGTATGAGACCCCCTTCTCCCCCCATGGGACTAGAGTATCAGTATCCTCTTGAATCAGTGGGCTACACTTTGAGTGAAGACATGAAGAAGTTTTTTTCCAGGGCAAGAAGGAAGTAAGGTGGGGTGGTAGCATATGATTTGCAGGAGATGCTGTATAAGAGTTGCTGACTAATGTCTATACAAGTAATCTCAAATTACCAATAGGACTTGTCCAGTCCTAAGATGAAACATAAAGATTGACTGGGGTTCAAAATAATTCACACCAAAGTAACAGGAATGTGGAATTTGTAGCAAATCAATCAAATCTGGAGTTTGTCACTACAATCATTCTGAGAAAAGAATGTGTTAAGTTAATCAGGATTGTAATCAGAAATGGAATAGACATGACTAACCTAAGAAGATAAAATCACAAGTACATATTTATATAGAAAGAAATGATATAATGTAATTAAAAGTTTTTTAAAAATATTTTCATTAAAGTCCATTTATTGGACTTCATTGGTCACTTTTGTTTAATTTATAATAATTTATGTATTGGTCACTTGTTTAATTTATAATAATTTATTTATTGGTCACTTTTGTTAAACTAAATTGACTTACTTTGTTCCCTGGAAGTAAAACACAAAAAGACTACATTTTATTTTATTTATTTTTTTAAGAGGACTACTTTTTAAAAAATTCTCTAATTTAGACTGATAATTTATACTGGATTTCTGAAGAATTTCCAAAAAATGAAGTTTAACATATAAGTTAATTCTTAAGTCTTGGCACAGGGGCAGCATTCTATAATTGATGAATGTGAGAACAGAGGAATGACTGAATGCCTAAGCCCACTCACGTGGCTTATCCCATCATTTATAAAGTAATAAGTCTATTTGTGAGTGTGCCATTGACTTGCATTTCAACTTTATGTTTTCTCGGAGTTTTTCCTCTTTTTACTCCCTTGTGGACTCCTTCTGGTTTTCTTGCCTCCAGGATCTCTCACTGAGATCTAATAAATTCTAATATTTTTTTTTTTATATATATATATATATATATATATATATATACTGAGAAACTTATCTCATCCTAATGGTCACTCCCCCAAATGCATTCCAAAATGAACTCCTCTGCTTGCTTTCTTAGGAAATGTAAAGAAGGAGGGGCGCCTGGGTGGCTCAGTTGGTTAAGCGACTGCCTTCGGCTCAGGGATTGAGTCCCACATCGGGCTCCCTGCTCAGCAGGAAGTCTGCTTCTCCCTCTGACCCTTTTCCTTCTCGTGCTCTCTATCTCTCATTCTCTCTCTCTCAAATAAATAAATAAAACCTTTAAAAAAAAAGAAATGTAAAGAAGGAAACAAATAGATGAGTTACTGAAATTTATACAAGCTATTTTTCTGTATACCACTATATGCATTCTTCCAAGAGGGCTGGCAAAAATGAACATACTTTCGGGTTATTTGTGAGGCAAGTATGGCTGTTAGCCATGTGAAACAGCCATCATCACCCAAGTAAGATGATCTTAACTACTACTTTAAAATAACATACTGCCTTCTAAAAGAGGCTTTAGAAGATTCTGGCACTCTCCAGGGACAAATGCAGGAAAAACAAAAACTGGCTAATGTCTGAGCACCCTAAGAAGCATGAAGGTTTATTCTTCTGTTTAGCTTTGTAACCTGACAGGCTCACAGGAAATCCAGATGCAGCCTTGAATGTACAACTAATTTAGTTACATTGCTCGCATTATATGCTAAACATGTCTATAATATTATTAATGTACCACTCTACATTTCTACAGTTGTAAGGTCTTAATCATAATAACGCCATGCCTGTACTTTATTTTCATAAGTGGAATTAGCATTTCCATATGAACTAGAAACGCAGAAGTGTTAATACTTCTCCTTAGGATTCCTGCTATGACATTTTCAATGATTTCATCATAATTTAGCAATATTCAAGTATCTCAGTTTATGTTCATAAGCATGGCACTATCTCGTGTGAATTTCCTTCAGAATCTGGCACCTTTGAATACGGTAGCTTCATCTACATGTGCCTCACTGCCTAACAAAATCAATCAGCTTGAAGTCAGTTAAATATTGTTCAAATCCTTACTACAGAATTCTCACTCAATCTGTAGTCTGCACAAATAAATTGTTCTTTCATGGCTTGATTTTCGTTCATGCTTTTGCGGTATATTGTTACCATATCGGTCTTCTGTCCTTCGTTCATTCATTCTGTTTTGGTAAGTATCAGTACATGGATCTGTCTAAGTTTTCATAAGGTCTTTGAGGTTCTTGAGCTGCTGTTCGGGTCCTCCCACATCAGCAAACTTACTCTCATATATATGTCTTATTATTTCACAGACATGTACGTACC